ACATACCATTAAATCTGACAAAACGCCAAAAATAAAAGTTTTTGAACGCGATATAAAAAAAGGAGATGTGGTGTGATTGCCAATGAGACAACTATCCACCAAAGTTCAAATGAAGTGGATGTAAGCAATTATAGGCAACCGTACGGCCTTCAACAATGAGAAAAACCCATACCGTTGATAATACATTTTGTAAAATAAAAAAATAATGGTACAAATTAAGTCAAAAATAAATACAAGGATATACAAACTGAAACCATCACTTTTTAAAAACATCTTGCGTTTAAATCCCACCTCTGGACCAACTCGCATCAGATACTCCGAAAGCCAAGAACCCAAAGGCTGGATGCACAAATACCGAGCCACGTCAAGAAACATACGACCTAAAGTAACATAATAATACAAATACATATAGAAGAAAAACTTTGAAAGCAAACAAAATGATGATAACGTCAGCACATAGAATCTATAACGTCAGACCATCCTGTAGCCCTTTTCACAAAAAATCTTAAGTGTAAAATTAATCTTACGATAAAATTTAAATATTTAGTTGAATTGTTAAGCAATATTTTAGACTTACGATAAATTTTACACTTAAGATTTTTTGTGAAAAGGGCTCCTGCACTATTTGTGAAGGTATTTCAATACAAATTTTTTGAGACGTTCTATGACAAAACCCTGGCGCATTAACACTAATAAAAACTTACCTTGATATCTGTTGTATGTATATTTTTCCAGTATATTAGTGAGCCTTTTGGTGCTACATTATCAGCGTTATAGAGCCTTAAAAGGATTAATCTATCTTCAATATTTGCCAATTGGTCAATTTGGCCCGTTATCTTAATGATTTGTGAATCCTGCCAATTACTATGAGAAAACTTTATACCACAATAATCTGATGTAAATACAAGGCCGTCTTTTGTTATTCCATTTGTACATCCTTTGGTTTGGTAATCCGGCACTCCATTTAGTAGAACCAAAAGACAATCGTTTTGTTTGATGTTCGTTTTTTGTTGTTCAGGTCTGAAATTGTAAATTATACATTTTGTCTAAAGTTTCATATTCTAGTAATATTGTGCTTGGGTTGACCTCATCGTCAGAGGTATGTTGTCGGCTAATGAAACGTACCTACAATACTCTCTGTGTTGCTAAGTGTTCGAACGGATATCTTTGTTTCGCTGATTATTTGACATTGAAACTTGGTTCGTTAATTCTCCTCCCGACTCTTTCAAAACAAACAAGTTAAAAAAAACACCAACAGGTAACGGTTGGTGATGCTTCTTTTTGTTTTTGTTTTGCAATTTATATTTATTCAAACATTAAAAGTAAATGATAACCTTGTTATATCTGACGAAACTTGATATTACCTCTTATATTCTTTATCTGATTTAAAATACTGTAAACCAACTAATTTTCGCGAGCGATTTATTTTCGCGACTTTTGCGAGGGGAAAAAAACGCCAATTTAAATCGTCGCGAATATGTAAAACTTGGATCTTTCCTTATTTAGATATATATAACTACATCAAACAAATTTGAATATCGCGAAATTAAATCGCCGCGAAATGGGCTAGTAAGAGCTTAACGCGAAATAAAGTATTCGCGAAAATAAGTTGGTTTACAGTAGTAATCATGGTAATAGAACATTCTTGATTATATATTTAACATTTGTTGTTAATGTATACATACACATTTTTCGGCCACGCGCATGACAATGGCATTGTCAGCTTAGCAGGTATTAGAAGCTCTTCTCCTTCTTTGACTTGATAATTGGTTGATGACGCTGCATCAATCTATTAAAAGAAGTGTTAATAGAATGTATGCATGGTATTATTATTTGCATCATAAGAAAGTACAATCTAAAATAAGTCTTCAAAAAAAAAAAAATCATAGGATATTATTTTATTAGTTTCTAAACAGGTATGGAAAGGTTGCAATGTCATCATTTCTTAATGACTTCTTGAATTGTAACTTCTAGTAATAATTTGCGGTATTACTTTCCAATATAAGTTTGTGCATTAAGGTTCAGAGAATATTGTGTCATATTTCTGAATTTCATAATTTATAACTCAAACCATAAAATATATGAATGGCACGGAACTCAACACTTCAATAGATTGCTAACAAATGATCTATTCCACTTAGAAGAATGCAAATAAAAAAGGGAAATTACATATCAAAAGCAAAAGAATATTGTAATTAACACTACGTTAATTACAATGAGAATTCTGTATCTGTTTTTTCAGATTTCCCATATAAGTTGCTTATCACAACTCGAATGTGTTAAATGATACAACAACACAACACATAAACACCCACACCAAAAAAAAAAAAAAAAAAAAAAAACTAAAGTGAAATATTCATCACCTCTGTCGTAAAAAGAAATAAGCGGAAACCAAATTCACTATGTTGAAATAAGCTGCGTTGAAGACCCATTGATGGCCTTAGGCTGTTTTCTGCTCTTTGGTCGGGTTGTTGTCTCTTGACACATTCTCCGTTTCAATTTTCAATTCTATTATCGATATCAACAGAAAACATACAACTCACAATATTTTGACTCCATCAGTGTAACTGTGATGTTTCGTTTTTTGTAAATTCGAAATTACAGAATACAACTCTTACATGTATGTCTTTGTTTAACGAACGTGGACAATGAACGTTAACATATTTGTCATCTGATAATGAAAGGTCTGAAATGTTAAAGACTCACTTATTTTAGATTTAAACGCTTTTATACATATTTTTGTTACCAGTATGCACGTTACATGGTGTATATCTGGATTTGAAGGATCGATCTTTTTAACAGCAAATTATAAGAGATATCAGGATTATAATTTGGAACGCAAGACATACGTTTTGTCTTCGTAAGACTCATAAGTTACGCCCGAATTAACACAATATAAAAGCAAAATTAGATAAAAATCAATACACTTATTCTTATTTACAAACCTCTAATCCTGCAAAAAATATAGGAGACTTATGCTGAGGACCATATAATCTAAATTCACCTCCTCCTACTTGTATAGCACACTTCACTAGCATATTGGGCTTGTATTTCGATGTCCAGTGTTCTTCTAACATGCGACCTAAACCATCCATTACTTCCGTTTTTGACAATCCATTTAATTTGGCGTCTTTTATCTCAATGTCATTGAGATACCATCGTGTTGTATAGTTATATCCATCTTGTAAATCGTCTGCATGACATTCAAAAGTTGCATTACTGTAAACCATTAGTACTTTAAATTCATTGACAGATTCTCTTTCTGTAAGGGTAACTTTAACATACGGTGTCACTGTTACATCGGGGAAAACTAAATGAAAAAAAAAGAATTAGTTTTATACGATTGCTAATTTCTCTTTCTGTCATCTTTCGTAAAGGGAAAATCTTTTTTTTTTCTTGTCGGTTTTTTATACCCCCGCCGTAGCGAAGGAGGCAGTAAGGTATACTCTTGTCCGTCTGTACGTCCGTCCGTCCATCCCGAAATTGGTTTCCGTTCTCTAACTTTACTTTGCCTCAACCAAATGTTATGAAACTTATACACAGTACTCAGATCAAGTTCGAATTTAGGTGGCCTGGACACAGTCTCCATTTATTTGTCTGAAGAGTATGGGACATGGTCTTACAGAAATGGTCTCGACCGTTTTTCTCTCTCCATTTATTGATTATAAGGTAACACTTTAAGGAGTCAAATAGTTAAGACACTAGGTCCCTACAAATAATATTTACGAGATAAGGTCCTGAACCCTCAACTTATATCATATCGGTCGAAGCTTCACCTTTCTGTATCTGTAAATCTTATGTTTTCCGACACATATGAATAAAAAAAAATCAGATGATGAAAGCTTATTGTTAAGGTGGTACCAAACACCTTGACTAATATTAATTTGGCTCGTTTAATTTTCATAAAATTTTGACAAAATGTTTACTTTGACCTTTTGACAAAAATATAAAAATTTCAAAAAATTTGAACCAACCACTTTATCAGAAAAATTTCTTTGGTTATATAGCAGTTTGACAAACACTAATTTTGATCATTGAGAAGCTTAATATTTTCTTAACATTACAACGTAATTAAAACGTTAAGCTGATTTTTACAGAGTTATCTCCCTGTAGTGTTAGGTACCACCTTAAGAAGCCCAATAGTATAGACCTACAGTACGACTATTGGTTCTGTTTTATGGCTAATTACAATAAACATGAAACCTTCATGTGGTTAAGCTTCTCAGAAGGATTGGAATCTTATCGGTCAAATACAACGGTAGTTATTACCTTTTCCGGGCTTTATACTTATTAAGTTCACAACCTTTAATTATGTAAGTTTAAGCAAAATCACACGTCACAGAGCATGGCAAATAGGCAAACGTTAAAATGTTCCTGTCAAAATACACCAAACAACATTGAAATAGCTATTTGTTTTTATAGTGATTAAGATTATAACACAATGTTGACTGCTCTACCCCAATTCATGACATTTTTATCATGTCTGTTTGTTTTGCTCACACATTATTGTCAATATAATGGAATTATATGCGACTGTCACACACGTGAGAGGTTTAGATAGCCAGAAAACCAGGTTTAATCCACCATTTTCTACATAAGGAAATGTCTGTACCACGTCAGGAATATGACAGTTATTTGCCGTTCGTTTGATTTGTTTGAGCTTTTGATTTAGCTATTTGATAAAGGACTTTCCGTTTTGGATTTTCCTTGGAGTTCGGTATTTTTGTTATTTTACTTTTTAAACATCTTACGTTTTTCCTTTAACTATAATGGTTGCCGTATTAAACCAAAAAGGTAGTTTTCAGTTTTTGAGAAGATAACAATTCAGGTTCTTAGTTCTTAATCTTGTGACTCATCGTTCTGTATATTTTAAGATCCTTCAAATATGATTCAACAACACTACCGCGGTTTGCAAGGAACCGAAAAGTTTATGTCAGTCAGACACTTGACTCCGAATATAATAGTAATATGTTGCATATTTTTTTTCCGTAAAAAGGTTTTGTAAAATGGCTGAAAATAAAAATATTAATCAGGAGATATTCTTTTCGTTGACAAAATTATGTTATGCAGTTTAAATGTATCAATTTGAATTCATACATACTTTCACATCCTGGTGTAAATCCGTTCTCTGACGTTGTACCATTCGCGCATGGAAGTTGTTCACCTGAAAAAAAAAAAGTTCACGCAAAGCATACAAAGAAAGTATAAACGAACAATATCAGAATAATCGTTTATCTAATGACTACAACATAATAAAGACGGAACGTAAAAAACAAGGCAAGAGACAATTGCTGTCGGCATATCTATATTATATAGACAATAACTGTTTAGTGTCTTTAAATATCAGCTGTATTTGTACGAGGATAAGAAACAGGTGTAATGCGAGCTTCAGCGAGCTATTACTCCTGTTTCGAGCTGAGTACAAATACAGCTGATATTTAAAGACACTAAACAGTTATTGTCTTTATCCTGCAATTAATTTTGTACATTTTTTCCCATCCCAATGGTTGAATTTGTTTTTGAAAGAAAACGCGGACCGCATTGAGGACCCCAAATTGAACTGTGACGTAAACAGTAAATTGACATAACCGTTCGTTCGCAACAGAAGCAGGAAACCAGGAGACTATATACGTCTAGTATACGTATATCGCTTCGTGTAATCTGTACACCTGTATTAGTATAGTAGAAAGGTCGATTGCAGGATAAAACTTTATAACGTTGTATTGTGAATTGACGAAATATATGCGTGTACCAAGTCAAGAATATGACAGTTGTTTTCCATTCCTTTGATGTGTTTGAGCTTTTGATTTTGCCATTTTTCAAAGAGCGGTCCGTTTTGAATTTTCCTTGGAGTTCGGTATTTTTGTTATTTTACTTTTTAATATTTTAAAGAATCAGGCTTATTGATTTGATATTTCATTGACTGTTTTACGTACCAAAACAGTAAGCTGATGTACATCCACCTTGTATACGTCTCAGAAAATAGACAAAATATCCATCACATTTTTTTATTTGGATTTCGTATTCGGTATGTTTACAATTACCATCATAGTTTGAAGCATATGCTGTTCTATTAACTGTTAGACCAACTGAAGGATAGGGCTCCTCACCAGCAGGTAAATCGTCTAAAATACAAACAAAATATAAAAATAAGAAGATACGGTAAAATTGAAAACGAGACCACACGGCCTTCAACAATGAGAAAAACCTATATCGTATAGTCGGCTATAAAAGTGTCCCCGACATGAAAAATTTGAAACAATTCAAATAATTATCGATAAAATGGCGGAACGGAAAGTATGAAGGAAAAACAAAATTGTGAAATCCATGCAAAAGTTATTACTTTCTTCAAAAGAGTTTTTTTATATGAACGATGATTTTCTAAAGCGTTTCGATATTTGACATGATGTCTTTCTACATTCTGTACATTATAAAAAAGCACAGCTAAATAAAAAAAAGAGAACATTAACATATTAGAAAAGAAAGGATATGGGGTTCCCATCCAAAATCAGTATATGCACAACAACAAAACACAAAAAAAAGCTGTTCCTCATCTCAAAGTCACAGTGATGCCTTCACCACGGAGCAAAAAACTCTCACCTCACTGCAATTTTAAGACGGCCCCTATCACCGGTTTGAGGGGAATTCTTTGCCAAAATAATTCAAGTAGACTTTGTAAAATGTTACACCAAAAAATCGGGCCCGGTCAATAAGAACATACTAGAACATGGAAGATTGAATTTAAAAAAAAACATGATGACATCCCTATTTCATTAATTTACTTATAGATTTTGTTTCAATTTTAGGAAACCGATCGGGTTTAATTGGTTTATATTTGCCCGTTATATATTCACATTTGAGCAAAGTTCTTAGTCCAATTATTATTTCATATTGAAAAGAATCGATACAATAACATTCTTCGCGTAATGCAATTATGACTGTATGTAAAGTTGACCAACTAAAACAGAGGAGATACGTTTAATACTTTTTTAATTGTTGAGCATTTTTTTTAAACAACACCTGTCCTAATCATAACCTTACCAACGTATAAATATATTGGTTTTGCTGTATTACAACGAAATCCTCCTACTGGACATTGTGTTGGCATTAATTCTCCTGCATCACTTATAACTCTATACCATCCTTCTACTAGAACATTGTCACATATCTGTGTTGTATCAGTTCCAAAGGCTACAGATCGTCGCCAGTCGTCTATAGTAGCTGTTGTTTGACAAGGGTCATCTGCAAAAATGAATTACATATTGAAGACATTTGTCAATCTGATTAGCAAGCCTAACTTGTCATACAAGATGGAGGTTTAGCTAGCTATATTACCAGGTTTAACCCATTATTTTGTTTTTTTCGGAAAATGTCTGTACCAAGGCAGGAATTTGTCTGTTGTTTTCCCTTTGTTCCGTTGATTGATAGCGTTTGATTTTGGCAGTTTTTATGGACTTCTTCTTTTTAAATTTGCCTTGGTGTTCGGTATTTTTGTTATACTTTTTTTAAAAATACGTAAGCTGTACATGCTGTAAGTGAAAACTTTTCCCCCAGAGCAAGTCAATATATGTGACTAGTTTTGAGATTTCCAGGCTTATGGAGGTACCTGGTCTTAAATGGGCTTTTGCATATTTATCCAGTTAATACTGAGAGAAAACATCCTGTCAGGTTATTATGACAGATGTGTTGAAACAACAGTGTAATTGGTCTTTTTGTATATCTACATAAGGAATATTCGATTCATTTATTTGATTAACGAACACATTTTGTTTTTAAGAGGACACATTATACATTCCATTGGCGCTGAATAATTTCTATCGGCCTATTTGAACACAGTTTCAAATGTACTACAACAGCTCTATTTGCTCTTTTTTTTATAAAATGTAATTTAAACTTGCAATGAAATTGCTTTAAAACTTGTCTGTAGTAGTTTTTTTTTCTTTTAAAATTTAATTGATATACAAGTCCCTACCAAACATTGCATGCGAGGCGTAACGGTATATATAAGGCGTAGTTTTGCAAATGACGGTGCATCTATTATAATGATGCAATTTTAATATGATTTTATCTATGAAAACTCTACAGAGCAGATAATTTTATAGATTTCAAACACTTTGAAGGCTTTTTTGTTTATCAATTTATGCAGAATAAAGTAATGTCAAATTCAAACAAAAACTTAAAATTTATGTAACCATAGTAAAGTGGTTTACCTTCTCCACAAATACTCCCAAAACGACAATTAAATACCAGAGGAAATTGAATGAACTATCTGAAAAAAAATCTTTAATTTGCAAGCGTTTGATTTACCTTCAATTTCTATATTATTTTTACCAGGCTTCAACTTATAAACATATTTAAAATCTACCATGCTAACATAACAACGACTTCTTTGGACTTCTTTGATAAATGTCTAATATTGTTTCTGATCTTTCTGTTTACTTATATACGTATATTTTGAGGATATCTGGACTCCTAATAATTCAATACAGTATATTTTACAAAATGTGAAGTTATGTTCATAGTTAACGGCGTGTTTCTATCAATGACGTTATACCTCCATAAGTCAGGAAATGTCATGGTAGGTGACACATATGGACATTGATTTGTTTTTAAATTTTCACCTTGAAAAACTGATAATGCCAAATTCTTTAAAAATAATTAAAAAGACGTTCCATACGTAAAGAGTATTCACAAGATATCGTAATATTAGGTCCATTTAATATATGATCTTGAGCATAATCTCAGTCCAAACTCATACAATTATCATTCCAAGGTTACAAAGTTTGTATTTGATAGGCTAAAGATCGATTATGAATTTTTGATTCGCATCTATCTTTGAAATAGCTTTCCGGACAATATAAGTCCGTATTCATTATAATGACACTATAGATAAAAAATGATTTCAAATAGTTTTATTATGTGTTTTCATCTTGATAAATACCAAATGTGTAACAGTTTGTAAGTATACATTTAATTCTGTGTTGGAACAATTTTTTTTCACATCGAAACTAGCAACTTCAGATTAATTGAATTAGGAGATAGCCAGAAAAGGAAATACATGACAATGATTTCATTCATAATTGAATAAAAGTTTCCGAGGTCACATCCAAGTCATAAGTTATGAGTCAGTAAAGAGATTCTAGCACTCATGAAGCGGACATAAGTTTATTTCATCGTATTTGTTCCAGCTATCACATCTAAGACATTGAAGCCACATCACAAGAAAATTGATGAAATTGCTGTGTACACCAATTTTTAACTGACTTTATCAGCAGCATTGACTGAAACTCTTCGGACCTAACGGAGGCTCCTTGATAATGAAACATTTGAAAAGTCTATAATCATTACATGCTATCGTTACAAATACTGTCTTTAAAAAAAGACGTCTGACGCATTTATATTGGAATATTTGTTTCAACCCTTTATTTTTGTTGTCTTTTTGTGAAATTTAATTGCTTTAAATTTGACGGTTACCATATGACATTCATGAGGTATCAGATGTAATAAAATATAATACATTAAGGTAATGTGACACATACTAACTTGTAATAAAGGGGAATATCTTCTTTTAATCATGTTTTTATTGCACCGCATATTTGAGATAATGATAATTATACAATGATGCATTTACCAATTATAGACGCAAACTCTTTCGCCGAGTACAATAACACTAACGGTACCCAATCCACGACACCAGATGCGCATTTCGACAAATAATGTCTCGTAAGTGATGGAAAATCCAAGTTCTAATACAGATATTGATGAGCTAGTCACAACAACAAGGACCTTAAGTATAGCTTTTAGTATAAGAATTAGGAAGATACATTTAAATGATTTCCAAAATTGAATATTAGCAAATTTTACTCAAACTATATTCTATTTTCATGCCAGTACCGAAGTAGGGGTGACAAACAACCCACCAGTAGAGGTATCGATCCAATTGACGAGCTGATCAAACCAATAAAACCTAGACTATAGCAAGTTTCGGACAAGGGATCAGAGCTTTGCATGACTGAGATTCAAAAAGAGATATTTTAAAGGTAGTTATTTACACACCATATATTTTGACCTTTTTTATTTCAAGTCATACATATTTTTTGTTCCCAGAAATATTTATCTATCGTTTTTAAATAATGCCTGTAAATGTTTAGTCTGCTCTTGCAAGTATTTATGTCTATATGGACAGATGAATGGACAAAGGTTTTGATAATCAACATTGTACTTATACACTGACAACAACAATCGCAGGCTATACGCAGAGTTTTTCAGATTTCTTAGTATATTGCTAACTACAAATGGATGATGTCGCTATTTTGGACTATGAAAATGAAATTGATATCAGCTATGTGCTTTAGAAGCCTTTCATTTTATTTCATTTTAAAAAACAATGATAAACTTATAATATGCCCACACAATATTCAACTTGTCTTAGAACGGAGTTTTTTTGTTATGAATTTTAAAGTCTTGTGGCGTTGGATAAACGTAGTCGTCGAATTAAAATAGTTCTTTTACCCATTTCAATAACACAACAACGGTGTTCTTTTATCGGTTGTATGTAATTATAACCTGTATTCAGAAGGTCTGGTATATAGTATATAGAAGTTGTTTAATATTTAATGTTTTGATCAGTTTGAGAATACAATCAAAGTTGTTTTGTGGTTTTAATAAGACTTGTTTAGTCTCTTTTGGTGCAATTGGGTAAGGTATACTTGTAAAATTATCTTTAGCTGCGAACCGCTACTAAACACAACAGGTTTAACTAGAGTCGACAAATCTTATGCATTAATCAAATATATTTGGAAATAATTTATAGATAATGTTGGAATTGAAAAAAATAAGAACACATGTATAGTATATGTTCATGAGAGAATCATCCCCCCATGCAATACAAAATAACAAGGTAACATCTAGATGTCACTATGCTTTTGTCAACAATATAAAATTGTCATTACACATATCTCTAAATCGCAAAAGTTTTTTCGTTCGTTTACCTAAATGACCAATATATGATAGGAAAAAGAAAACATCTTCATCAAATGTTTTTTTAACACCTGTAAAATGGCTAGTGATAAAGTAAAGTTTATTTGATCGTTTACCTCACACATTTATGTTTTGTATTCTGTTTTACTTCTTTTGTTTTTATTGCTTTCAGGCAGTCTGTTAGTTTGCTAGTTATTCTCGAGGTAAGAATGTGTTTGTTTTGATATGATGTTGCTAGTATTCACTGTTGATATATCTAGACATGTTTTTGCTGGATATTATAATTCATTTCTTATATCAAAATACTGTACATAACTGAATCCTTTATCTCCTTTAGTTCACAAATATATCTTTAATTTTGTTATATGCGATTGGTGCACTGAGACTGAGTTTTTTCTCTTTGTCAATAGTGTGGATTTCAATTTCCGACTTAGTCTTGTTAGTGTTTGCTGCGTTCACACTAAAAGTCTTATGTTCATTAAAAAAGTTAAAAACACAAGGTCATGTTCAACTCTGACTGTTAATGACGTCTTTTAACTAAATTCAGTGGATGTTGGATGTGTACTGATTGGTATTTAAGTCTTAGACACATGTTTTTTTAATTAGTTGTCATTGGTTTTGAAATAGCTTCCAGTAATTGTGAGTACTCTCTGATCTGTACTTTGTGTCGTTTGTGTTTTCGTTATGGTTTTTATTTGCTTTGTATCGATCTGATGAGTTACGCACTTTTCAGTTGATTTTTATTGTTTGTTCTTATGTGATACTGTTACACTACTGTCTAAGGTTGGGGAGGGTATGGCGCCAGAAATCATGCTTTACCACGCAACATTCTGTATTTGCCTATCCCAAGTCTAGAGCCTGTAATTCAATTATTGTCGTTTGTTGCTGTAAATCATATTTGTTTGTGTTTATTGTTTTGTTCTTAAATCGAACCTTTAGTTTTCTCGTTTGAATTGCTTTACATTTGTCTAATTCGGGGCCTTTATAGCTTACCACGGGGTATGGATTGTGTTCATTGTTGATGGCAGTACGGTGACCTATAGTTGTTAACTTCTATGTCATTCGGTGTTTGGTGCAAAGTTGTCTAATTTGGTAATTATACGACAACTTCTTATTTTTATACTTCTATCTATTAGTAAAATACGGAAAACATTATAAATTTGTTTTGAGATGCCAAAATAATGTTTTATCATGAATTAGATTTGTCCATGTTTCCAAGGCACAATACACTGTAAAATAAAAATCTTCTTAACTAAGGTGTTGTACAAAACCCATTACAAATAGGGCTTGCTAACAGATAAATGTGACACAATTATCATATTATTAACTTGCCTGCTTCAAGTTGTGGTAAAAATATCATTGCTGTAACCAAAACGAAAATTATACAAATATTCCTCATGTTTGTATTTCCTAATTCATAGTAAAATCTGAAGAGTAAGGCTTCGATTACTTCAATATTTTAAATAGCCCATACTCATTCAATACGTAATTCATAATAGCATGTATAATTGAAGTGAAATGCTTCAATCATTTTAGTTTCTGAAATAGAAACTATTAAATCGACACAATGAAAGACAACCAATAGAATTAATTCGAACGAAAACATATCTACATTTTGATCGGGAAAGTCCCATTATTTAAATGCCTTCACTTGACAGTTTTACAGTTAATAATAGAAACAAAAAATACATGGATAGGAACTTGAACTTGAGGCATCTGCAAGGCCATCTCTATCGGTATGATCTAAATAAAAGGCGAAATCGGGAATGATCGCACGATTTTGGCAAACAAACACTAAAAGAAACCCCAAAAATAGAAAGACATCTAGAGGTCAACATATATAGAGTCTTGAACATCAAAATCATAGTATAAGTGAAGTGAAAATTATGAAATGGGCATTTATTTTGATATTAGTTGACCGGTATATCTGCAAGCTTGAAATGTTATGTCTACAAAGTTAATTCATTGTAACAATGCTTTACCCGTTGGAAAGGTTTTCAGTCGTTAATATCCCGCAATCATCAAAGTATTACACATCCCTGACCAGGCATTGTTATTTCATCTGAAATGAACCGTTTATTTTTCTGTAGTCATCAATAAGAGGAGATGTCAGTTTTGCCAGTATGGAACATATTTGACGTTTTTTTCCATTTGATTAGATATATTCCGTTAATTTGAGGCACCACTGCTGTGCACATCTTTTTAGAAACAAAAAGATAAAAGGAGTGAACACATTTTTATAGAGGTTATTGATGTGTATACTGACCGATTAACTCTAAAACCGAATACCAGTCCGAAAATATTTTGTGTAAGGTTTGTAAGTCGGCAGCCAAGTTCTCATACCAATAACCTTTAGAAACATTTGAATTATTTCTTGTCAATTCCAATTATCTTGGAAAGCGAGGATTTCTATCATATATATTGTTCATGAATATAACATGATAAAATCAACGTAGCGTTTACAGTAGGTCTGGAAGTATTTTCATTCGAAGTCTAAACCAAGGGAAATAAATGTAACGGAGAAATCACATTTAAGTATTTGTATATATGCAAATTATGTAGGAATAGTTATTGTCTTCAAAAATACTTTTAATTGCTTCTTTTTATTGTTTAAAGATAAAAACTTATTGTAGGCACCACATATTAAGTTATTATTGTATATTTGGACAAGCATATTGGTGCTTTGTTTTATGCAAACATTAGTAACAAATTATTTCGTGGCAACAATAATTCTACTTTCTCACAAATTATCTATCATCTGGTTATAGCCTCAACGTACATACAACTTCTGAAGAGTTGAGTGCGGTACCTGTTGCTGTTTCCTTATTTAAACGAGTTTGGGGACAATTGTTGGAACAAAATAGATGCAAGGTAAGCGTCAGATGAGAGAGCATTCCAACGACACAAATAACAATACACATCTAAAGGTCACATTATAATCGGTAAACGTGAATTCTACAATGTGATAAGGTCTTAATCCGCCCGAGTCTAACAAGACGGTAAGACATCATACAGTGATTTACACACAGATCTGCAATAACTAAAAGCAACAAATAAATTAATCGCACCCCTCCAAAAAGATGTTTACAATGTTACGCAAACTTCTTGATGCAAACTGACATAGCCAATATGCAATGAATATACAGGGACTCAAGAAAAAATCCAATCCGTGACTACTTAATGTACAATGATGTAGGTAACATTGGTTTACGAATGTTCAAATCTCATCAATCACAAACAAGACAATGCAACTAAAGGTAACAAATAAAATCTGAGAGATCGCATGGTATCCAACAGGAGCAAGACCAGGTGCGTCGACAGGATAAGTGCTTCCTGATATACATATATCAACCACCATGCTTATCCACAATTAGTCAAAAAGTCACCATCGGTAATAAGACGCAGTCGGTTAAATAACTGATCAGAGGACTATTCTGGTATACTGCAAAAACATGTCTCTAGTCAGTTGAAACATAGACATATCTTAGTGATCAACAAATTAATAATGGTGACCGTAAATCTTGTTTAGTGTCGGTTCCAGTCGTTCGTCCTCCTCACTCTGTTGGATCTGTTTTTTGGGTATAAGGAGCACACCTTGAGATAAGTAAACGCCCTATTACGGGGCAATGGGTAGGCTACTGAGGAGAGTTTAGAAGATGAACCATGGAAAATTGAAATCAACACGTTTGTTATAGATTCTATTTTGAAGTCATCCTTCCGTGTCAATTTCGAGGAAAAGATTAAGATAAAGCAGACTTTTTAGTGTCAATAGTATCTCTCATCTCAATATAAAAATAAGGAGATGTAGTATGATTTACAATGCGACAGCTTTCTACCAAAGTTCAAAAGAAGTGGATGCAAGCAATTATAGGCAACCATACGGCCTTTAATAATGAGAAAAATCCATACCGTAAAGTCGGCTATAAAAGGCCCCGACATGAAAACATGTGAAGAATGTGAAACAATTCAATTGATAAAACTAACGTCTTACAAGTTCTATATGATATGTGAGATGCAAGCACTCACTGAAAAGTGGGTTATTGAGTGACATAACATCATCAATATATATGAATGATGTGAAATTAAACAACTTTAGTTGCAGTTGTCATAAATTGACAAACTATGGGATATATACACACATCATTTATATATATTTATAAATATATAAGTCTAAAGATTTGCACAACGGTACTAATATAAGATGGTTATATACGAAGATGATGTTATAAAATCGTGTTGACAAATATATTGGCTTAACAAATAGTTAACAGATTTATCAGTTTTACATAATTTAATTCATTGTATGCTGGTTCATATTCTGGACGCCAGTCTTTGCTCCTTTCTAATATAATTCACAAACAAAAAACAAATATGAAGCTTAGAAATGGAAAAATATTAAATACTAAACTCGTTCAAAGGGTATCTACACGTCTCAATCTTCAAAATCGCTTATCTAAAAATACTACCATCGCTAACATTTTTAACAATAAAAATCGTGGTTACCCTTCTATCGATAAGTGTCATGCCAAAAAATGACTTACATGTCCCCGTCTTTCCACCAACAATACGGAAAGGTCCACGTTTAATGGTCGCACATTTTATTTAAATTTTGAAACTGATATAACTTGAAAAACAAACAGTATTATTTATTTACTCACATGAAACAAACCGGGATGCGGTATTCAGTACGTAGGTGAAACTGGACGATATTTATCTAAACGCACTCAAGAACATCTGTATCGTTTTAAAAGACCCAATAAATTCAAAAGTATCATTTATCAACACCTTAAGAAGCACAATCATCCTATTAAATATTTAGCAGTTCAACCTTTAGAAGTAGTAAATAAGCAGCCTGGTGAATCTCATTCAAAGTTTGTACGATCACGGATAATAATTGAATTAAATTGGATTAAAAAATTACAGACAGTCTACCCTCTCGGTCTTAATGATAATATCATGGGAATTGGTAATATATCAAGAACCGATTCTGTTAACATTTTGGATATAGTTTCTCAAACTGTTCGTAAAAACCGTTCTCATGGTCGTAGAAAAAATCGCAATCAAAGAAAATTTCGGAGCAATAATACCAATATTTCGGACCTAATTTCTATTTCAAAAAACAACGGCAGACATTATCTGTTAACAAAGCTCTGTTCATTACCGGTTAATAAGTTAAATAAAATTTTAGAGGATTGCAACACAATTTCATATAGCAGTCCTAAGTATGAAATCGTTCAAATTATAATGGCATATTGTTATTCTAAACTGTTTCCCAAAATTGATCGCCCTGAAGATCATAAAAAACAGTTTATTAAAATAAAGTATGTCAATAAAGGTTTTTGATTTTGTAAATATTGCCGGTATTTTTAACGACCATTCTGTTAAAGAACAAATTCCGGGATATTTTGATAATACTGAGCTCCCTCTTATTTGTTATATTTACAAGAAACCTACCCGGAAATTTGTGTTTAATTATAGCCAATTGTGTAAAGATGTTAATATCAGTGAAAATACACCTACTTCATGTAATTGCAGTAATTCCGAATACATTTATGGACCCATTTCCCATGTTATAACAGGAGATCTTAACATCGTTCAAGACCGAGAGTTAAAATTATTCCTCAGTAAAGGACCTAAATATCGTCCCCCGTCAATTTTTAATTGGAATGAGTGTCGTAATATCATCCACGAATCACTCCATACTTACTGTTTGAAATGGATAAATCGGGAAAAAGCTGACAAAAAATCTTTGGACTCTTTTTTTAATTCAGTAATGAACATAGTTGATACGTATTCAACATTTTAAAGGACATTTTACTCTTAACAATAACCACAATAAACCTATTTCTCGTATCAAACATAAACTAAAAGAACTAGCCAAGGAATTTGTTTTTGTCCCGGCCGATAAAGCTGCTAATAATATTATTATTGTTTTACGTAAATTTTACATTGAGGTTCTGAAAAAAGAAATCACCAATTCACCAACATTCCAACTGACTCCATTTTCAGAAAACGACATCTGTTAGAAACATAAACTTTTAGCTACCGCTTTACAAGCAGAACCAAATACAATGAAAGTCCCAACTATGTATTGGCTTCCGAAGCTACACAAAACACCTTACAAATATAGATTCATTTCGTCTTCAAGCCATTGTTCCACTACTAAATTGTCTATTCTTCTTACCAGTACACTTGGTACAATCAAAAACCTGATAATAAATTGTTCAAATAAGGCCTTCGAAAATAGTGGAATTAATTACTTTTGGAGTGTCAAGTACTCGTTGGAAGTACTTGATAAATTACATGCATATATTGGTGATTTTGAATCTGTTCAAAGTTTTGATTTTTCTACCCTATATACCACATTGCCTTACATTCTCATTAAGAAATAATTCACACACCTAATTAAATGGGCATTTAAAAAGTCAGAATGTGAATATATATGTTCAAACTCTTTTAGGTCATTTTTTAGTAGCAATAAACAAAAAAACTATGTCAATTGGACATGCTTTGATACTAT